AATAAAAATGGCAGTTAGCAGGGATGAAGCAGAGCTTACTTACTCTTCTGTCTACCCAGTTAGGGTGGACATTCCAGGCCACGGATGGTATGGCCAGATTGAGACATTGGGTCATCTTAGAGCTGGTCAGAGATTGTGATGTTTTGGTGTGAAAGTAACTACCCATATTGATTTGATATATATATATGTAAAGTATATATAGAGCAAGTTAGAAATTCCTTAGAATTCTTTCATCTCCAAGTATTCGTCTATAATTTTGTTTTTCTAAAGTAATTACCAGTGGAACTGTAATTTCTCCAGACAACAGTTGTATTTGCAATTTTTTATGGCCAGTTTATATCCATCAAGCTGCACATGAGGTAGAGATAGGATTCAAATAAGCAGAGGTGGGAGGGAACCAGAGTGGAAGGAGGGGAGGGCTTTTCAGTCCAGTCAGTGAGTCTACAGAAGGAATGTGTGTGGGGGAAGGTACAATGTTAGTGGGATGGTAACGTGTTTACAGAAATATAAACAGAGCAGTCTGTTAAATAGAGACTGTTTACTAGGTAAGTATGCAAGGTTGAGACCACATTTGGAAGATTCAAATGCCAACCAAAGTTTGGATACCTCTTAGAATATTCTAGATCCAGATTCTTTATTTGTGCCCCTCCCCACCCCCCACCAAGTATCTTTTTAGAATATCATATTTCATGATTTCATATTTCATATTTCATGCATTGTCGATGACTTAATTAACATCAATTTTTATGACCAACCTCAAATAGACCTTTTAGACACTAATGGCTCTTTTGAATTGTGGTCTCTTAATAATCACAAACTCCTTATTTCCTCCGATAATGACTTTCCTTTTGTGACAAGCAGGTATATTTATAAATTGAAATTGCTTGGAATTAAAAGAAGAGATTGTAACTGAGAATTTAAATTCTCATCATGTAATAAAATAATATCTCTCATTTCTTAAATACTATGCTTTTCTTATCATCTGTTACCTGACAGGAGTGGACTTGAGTGTCCCTTCCTAAAGCAGCACACGTGGTGCCATAGTCAGAAGTGCTTGGGGTTTCTGACTTCTTAAACTAGTCATTTTACAACGTTATCAGTGTTACGTTACCAACTTACATGTAATGGGTGTATCAGCTGCTTCCTAACCTAGTAGTGTATTCATTAAGATTCTGGACTTCCTCCTAGTAGGTTTTTAAGTAAAGAGTTGACCACGTTGTGGGAGCCTCATGAGGAAGTGACTTGGGAAGCTGCTCTGGAAGAGAGTTGGGGGAGGAGCTGACTGTGCAAGTAGCTGGAATGCAGGACAGAGTAACCATTCAGAGGGAACAAAGAAAATCCCACGGGAACATAAGTGAGGAAGAGATTCTATCTTGTCTGATGTTGGTAAGGTGAGTGGGTTGGCACGTGACCTAGGAATTGAGTGATAAAAGGATTTTGGCAGACACATTGCATCAGAAAGATGTTTTGTGTGGAAACGACTACGTAAACAAAGGCCAGAACATAGAAACAGGATGGAATGGGGAGACACGGGAAGAACGATCTGGATGGAGCAGAGCGTGTTGTGGGAGAGGCTTAAACTTGAACTTAGGTTCAGGGAGCGTGGTGCCCTGTGCAGGAGGCTGCTGCTTCTTTACAGGCAGCAGGCAGGGTCAGGAGAGCATTGGTGGAGGTATGCTTCAGGAATGGACATTTCCTAAGGCAGGTTGGACAAAGAGAGACCAGCAGATCAGTCATAAGGAGAGCTTTCTCATTTTGCCAGAATTTTTCTGAAATTTATAATGTAAACTTCTGCCTGTTTAAAGATGTGATGGTAATGATGCTGTCAAATATCTATACTACATGATGTTTTACTTGAATATGTAAACTTAGACTTACTAAATTCACATGGCATATAGTATAATAAATTACCTATTTAAAACTTACAGGATTTCAAGTTATTTAAATATTATTTGCAATTCCTATGGAGTCTACTGAATTTAAGCTTATGTATTAGTTGCCTAAAATGTACAGTGATTAAAAAATAATAGAGCCTAGTAGTTACCCTCCAGTATGTGATTACTGGTCTAAATGGAGGGGTTGAAAACATACAGTAATAATGCAGTGAAACTGCGATTTATTGTGTGTATGAAACAAAGACATCTTCCTAGAGTGAAAATTGTGAATAAGAAAAAAGCTACACAAAGTATGTGTGCAGGCTCTTGGTTTATTAGAGAGACGCAGAACAGTATTTTTTTAATTTTCTTATGTCATTCTATTTTGTTATTTTTAAGAAGAAAGAATTCTCTTATTACAGTTTGTCTAAATAAATGAGATTATTTTTCTTTATTAATAGTAATCTTTGCATACCAGAAATGGGGGAGGAGCACTTCATTTATAGTTTTAAAATATATATTTGATATTTTATTGTTTATATCAGTGTTACTAAAAATACTATATTACTAGTATTATTGCTAGACATTTTTCCTGTTAGAGATGGTAGTAATTGATTATCGCATTTAAAAGGACGATTTTTATTACCTAAATTACGAAGACAGTATTACATTGCCAAAAAATAATGCTGTGTGAAAATGTAGGTAAGTGCCATTCACACAGAAAACTGATATTCTGAAAGTAAGCGTTGCTTATATCAGTCAAATAGAGAGCAGAAGAAAAAATCTAACTAGACTTTAGAACCTTTTTTAAAAAATCTGGCCTAAGGTATTAGTGATAAGGAAATATCATGCAGCATTTGCAGGAAAAAAAAGAGATTTTCAGTGTCCAGGTCAGAGTTATTAATTGACAGCTACAAAGAAAACTACTCTAGAACATAGGCTCCCTGAGGGCAGGGGGTGTCTGTTTTGTTCACGGATGTGTCCGCGGAGCTCAGGACAGGTAGAGGCTTCAGTGAATGTTGAAGGAGTGAAATTGTCATTTAAACAGCCGAGTTGTTGAATAAAACAGTTAATCATAGATTAGGTAAAAGTATGGAATATGTGAAAAATCACTGATACGTTGTCTATGAGAGAATACCCAGTTTAACTGATGGGGGCAGTGGAGGGCTTAGATGTAATTTCTCATAGTTGTCGTAGGTCCCTAGGTTCAAGGAAATCCAATATTGGCATAAGTGAAAAAGGTATATTTGTTGCTCTTTTGTGACATGCTGAAATCAGAAAGTTGTCATTTATTGAGTACCTGCTGTATTTTTTTTATTGTGAAATTTCAAATTTACAAAAAAGTACAAGCTTTGCAACTATCTCAATAATATTTTTTTGTGGCAAAAGGATCCAGGCAGGGACCACAGGTTGCACTTGATGTTTGTGTTGGAAGTGCTCAATAATTTCTGAGGGGCATCAGGTTGGAGGTTGGGTGTCTGGGACTGGGAAGGAGATCTGCAGTGAGGTGGTAGGGTAGTTGCTGACATATAGATGGATGCAGAGAAGGAGACTGAGGCGAACAGATCGGAAAACCTAGGCCAGAGAGGGTCAGGAGCTGCACAAGAGAATACTTGATTTTACCTTGTATGGGACTTGTATAAACTCAGCTCCCAGATTATGGAACCACGTGAAATTTGAAACATACTGCTTCCCAAAATTGAATTGTTTTGTTAAATTGAGACATTTTATACTGTTTTCAGAATGAGGTACCTAATGGATGGTTTTAGGCTCGCAGAACAAGGCCGCGCTGTATGCTGGACTCTCCCTGAGGAAGAGTGGGAGGAGGCCCCAGCAATGCTGGTCAGCCAGACGGTCCTCTTTAAGCCTGTCCTGTTAACTAAAGGGAAAAGTGAAGAGTTTCAAGTGGAGATTATGTAGTTCCAGAATGTTGTAGAAAATTTGTTTCAATTAAGTCATTTGTTGAAATCATTGTCTTTATAACTTTCTATGATACCTTCTTATATTTTTTGCTTTTATGACACAGTACAGTCATGCATCACTTAATGAAGAGGGTATGTTCTGAGAAATGTATCGTTAGGTGATTTTGTCATTGTGGGAATATCATAGAGTGCGCTTACACAAACCTCGATGGTATAGCCTTCTTCACACCTAGGCTCTGTGGTAGTAGTCTTATGGGACCACTGTAGTATATGCAGTCCGTTGTTACTGAAATGTTGCTATGCAGCACATGACTGTATTTCATAACAAGTGAAGTTGTTGTGACTAAGAAACATACTCAGTTGTAGAGTATTGGCAGCAATATCCAAGAGAGGTGTCATGCATATGATTGCTTCCTTTGGTGGTTCCAATAAATTATCCAAAATTTTGCCTTTTATGTTGCATTTCTGATGTCCGAGTAGAATATTGGTGATTCTGTAAAGCAATTGTATATATTACTTAAATCCATCTCACAGAAGTTCCTTATCCTTCCATGATATAACATGCATTGAAGCTGAGGTGCATTCTATGTGGATTGGAACTTGTGGCTTCAATATTTATTTGGAGTTATAATACATGATCTTTAACTTGAAACAATACGGAGTATTTTCTGCATAATCTCTTACTACCTAAGTCCTTCTTCTGGTTTGCCACAAGTTTTTTCTTGTTTCAAATTTTAAAAAATATGTATGAAAAGAAGAAGGGTGTAAGAGGACATAGGTAAATATTGGAATGCAAAACTACTATAGTCAATTGCTTTCATATTACAGTGATTAATAATGTATGTCGTGAGAGTAGTTTTTAGTTCACTTAACTTGTGGTTGTTCAGACTAATCTTAAACTACTTTTGGATTCCAAGTCGGTTTTAGTCTTCTCATCAGCTGATTTATTAATAATTGATTTTTTAGGAGTAATTTTTCTTAATTTGGAAACTAAATAATGTAAATTTTCTGTTTCTTTATATTTACTGAATAGTGTTAATTCTATTAATATAGTTTTTATATTTCTAATTTTCATGTAAAAACAAGAACCAGGACTTTCATTACAGGTATCTTATCTCTCTATATACATGTTTTGTTTTACTTTACTGAGTATTGTATTTCTAAGTATTGTATTTTCAATGTAGTGTTTCTTGTTTTTGCTTAGGGCGCTGGTCAGGATAAACTTGGAATCTATGTCAAGTCTGTTGTGAAAGGAGGTGCTGCAGATGTGGTTAGTATAATTTTTAGAGATGTAAATTTTTACTGTATTATATATTTAACAAATGACCTGAGATATTCCGTGATACTTTCAGCTATAAAACCCTCTATACAGTTTGTTGAAGAAACAATTATGTAGTGTACTTATCATTGACTTCCCTCTTCCTCCCACCTCTCTCTGCTGTTCCACCTCCTAACACACGCACGTGCCTTTTGGGTGTGCACAGGACGGACGACTAGCTGCAGGTGACCAGCTGCTCAGTGTAGATGGACGAAGTCTGGTAGGACTCTCTCAAGAAAGGTATCATTTATTTACTTGTTTAAAACCTTATATTAGCATCTTTAGGGGTATTTCATGTTAAACTTTGGAATTAGAAGACAAAAAATAATGCTAAAAAGCTGTGCCCTTACTCTTACCTTTTTAAGTGTGAAACTCTTAGTGTACATGACATTTCTTTTGTTAGCAAATTATAAATATACATTTTAGTCTGGAACAGTTTTTTTGAAGCTTAGAAAAATATACTCAGCATTTCCTGAAATTTCTGAATATCATCTTACTGCTCTTAATACGCTAGCAGGAGATGTGTGCATAGTTAATTTTTAAAGGAAGGGAATGGGCAGTAGGTAATCTGTCTGAAGGTAGGGCCTATTACTCAAAATAGCAGATGAGGCTGTGGAACATGCTGTCAGTTGCTCTGATCACAGGCTATTGTGGTGACAGGTGCTGTATTTCATACTTCTTACATTTGTAATGCTCTCTTCCCAGGGCAGCAGAACTCATGACAAGAACAAGTTCTGTGGTAACACTAGAAGTAGCAAAGCAAGGAGCGATTTATCACGGTCTTGCTACCCTGCTCAATCAGCCATCCCCAATGATGCAAAGAAGTAAGGACTGGTTGTGAAGAAGGGAGTGTGTCTCTTTTATTGGCTACTACCAATAACAGCTTTACTGATCACTTACTATATGCCAGGCATTTTACAATCATGACCTCTTTTAATATTCAGAAAAACCTTATGGAGTAGGTACTGTTATTTCTATTATCTCAATTTTAAACATAAGGAAATTGAGGATGAGAGCACTTAAGCAAGGTGCCTAAGATAACTAGCTAATAAATTAAATTGCTGTAATCAGAATTCCAGTGTGGGCCAACTGACCTTCGAGTCACAATGGCAATTCATTAGATTCTCCTCTCCCTAAGAGCCATTTAACCTCACCTCCACAGGGCTGGCAGACTGCTGGAGAGCTTCCACATGCCCAGCACATAGAGGCACTCAGTCAGTAGTGAACAGATGAATGACTTTTCAGTTTTGATAGGCAAACGCAGGATGTAGTCTTTAAAGAACAAGTAGAATTCTCTAGTGAAGGAATATTTATACATATGTATATGAATAGTTATTTCAGTCCTGCATATGCTGAGGTTGGACATGATTATCTTTTTATATATAGTTCATTTTAGATAAAAAGCTCAATTACTTGAATAACGTAATTTGTTGGTGGGAAGCATGGTTGTATAGCTACATAAAATTTTTCAGAAAAAAATCTTTAAGTTTAGGGCTTTTTAAAAAATTAGTTCAGAAACCATAGGAAAAAACCATTGTGACTCACATTATCTTTTAAGTCATGATATACTTGACATTTACTTTGCTGGTTATATGCGTAGCCTCTGTCTGGCTCTGACAGAGCTCACTTCTCCATAGGTCAGTATTCTGGGAACTTCAAAGCCCAGAACCTGAAGTCGAGAGCTAAGAATAACAAAACAACAACAAAGGCATCTGAGAACCTGGACCTACTGTTCATTGAAACAAACAAATAAAAAGAGCATCTTAACAAAACCATGTGTTGTATTATAGGCCTCGACTCAGCATAGTTTTTACTTTTTTCATAACATAATATTTAATGTATTGGTTTTCTAATTGCTTAGTTTACAGTTATTTAAAAGAAGCAAACCCGATGGTGAGTTAGAAATCAAAGAAGCAAAGTGTTAAAAGTAGGTAATAAATTGGGGTCATCAAGCAAGATGATTAAACTAAAAAGTAAAGAATGAGTAGTCACATCAAATAATGGCTGTTCATGATGATGACAACACTGAGTGATTAAAAGAATTAATGTATGTTTTTAAAAGTGAGGGAGGTCTATTTATTTATTTTATCTTTCAGTTTTAAAACGTTACTTTTAAAAGTAGTTTTGTTACTTAAAGCAGGTAAGTTTATGAGAAAATAAGCTTTGAAAGAGTACCTTTTACCTTCAGTACCAATTAAGTGTTGCTTTATTTGAAAACTTTTTAAAGATTCTCTGGATTTTACCCTTCTATAAAAATCACCTTATTTCTTCTGCTAAAAACAAGTTCTTACTTATGGTATTTTAAATATTTGTAGATTCATCTTTCTTTTAAAACTAAACAGTATGTTTAAAATAAAATCTTGAACAGATGAAGATCTTGAATGTACTTTGATTTCAGTTTCAGATCGTCGTGGCTCAGGTAAACCCCGACCAAAGAGTGAAGGTTTTGAGCTCTATAATAATTCAGCTCAAAATGGGTCACCTGAGAGCCCTCAGCTGCCGTGGGCAGAATATAGTGAACCAAAGAAATTACCTGGCGATGACAGACTAATGAAGAACAGAGCTGATCACCGCTCCAGCCCCAACGTAGCAAGTAAGAGGAGTGTCTGTGGCTCTTCTTCTCTTGTCTTGAGTTCTCATATAAGTACATGCATGGTCACAATCACAAGTGAGGAGGGGTACTCTGGTTTTTTAATTATTAAAATGAAATATTACCGGCGTATATTGGCTAACTGGGTTATGTTTTTCATGAGAGACATGAAAACTAATGTTCTTCTAACAGGAACTAAGTTAGAAAACTTTTGATTCGGTTGATTGTGCATTGATAATGTGTCTAGCAGGGGTTGCACACTACCAGCAGGAGCTCAGATGGTTTTTATACTTTTAAAGGGTTGTTAACAAGAAGCAGCAGCAATAGGAGGATGTGCAGCAGATACAGTGTTCACAAACCTAAAATATTTGCTGTCTGGCCCTTGCCAGAAATGTTTGCCAGTCCCTAGTCTGTAGATGAAACTTCATAGCTCTGGGCTCTGAGTATTCGAGAGGTGGGAGTGGGTCTGATGAGCCCGTCTGTCATGGCCTTACCTTTTATCTCTGTGCTAGACACCTCACTGCAGTATGAAGATGCGTAACACACAGTTACTACCCTCAGAGAACTCTTACGTGACATCTGGTTTGTTTATTTAATAGTAAACTTTCTTTTCCTGACTCTTTCCAGATCAGCCTCCTAGTCCTGGAGGGAAAAGTGCATATGCCCCTGGAACGACAGCTAAGATCACGTCTGTCTCTACTGGGAACCTCTGCAGTGAGGTCTGAGAGATGAGCAAAACAGTCTTTACTACCCTGTTAGGTTTCCCTTAGAGTACCTAAGTTACCTAATACAATTTTCACTCTACAAATTAGCATTGTTGATAATTCCTAATTAGTTAATTTTTTTGTTTTTAATATAGTAGGTAAATTAGCTTTGAATTAATAAGTCTGGGCAAAATAAAATGCTTTTCATTATTCTCAGGATAAGATCAAACACTTTTAATTTTTAACACAGTTTTTGAAATGTAGATACTATATTTTAAAACAGGTCGTTGGAGATTAAATTAGTCTGTTATACAAATTGCAAAAAGCTCACCTTTCTTTCCTCTTCACATTTTACAGGAACAGACCCCTCCACCTAGACCTGAAGCCTACCCCATCCCCACTCAGACGTACACTAGAGAGTATTTCACCTTCCCGGCTTCCAAATCCCAGGACCGGATGGCTCCTCCTCAAAACCAGTGGCCGGATTATGAGGAAAAGCCGCACGTGCACACCGACAGTGATCACTCCAGTGTTGCAGCTCAGGTTAGAGGGAAGGGGTTCCGTCCATTTCTCTCAGCCCTCAAAGATAGACCAGTGTGACAGTAAAAGCTGAATGATTTCCGAGACACAGTGGATGTTTTCTGTAGAACAGCACTGCTATCGTCATCTTTTTTTTTTCTTCCATGGTTTTTTGGTTAACTAAGGAAAAGAGGGGATAGGATAGAATACTGAACATGAAATGAGATTTCTGTTCTCTTAATGTTTGATTAATGAAATGTTAGTAATATTAAGCCTTAATTAAAATTTGTAAGGCAAAGTTCACAGATTCTAGGAGTGAGAAATGAGAAGCCAAATGATATATGTTGTACTTTGTTCATATCAGAAGGTGTCCCAAGCACTGGGAATGCAGAGATAATCATAGTCCCTGCCCGTGAAGCTAATGGTATGGTTGGGAAATGAGACAGATAAATTGCATACAGTATAGTAAGTGCTGCTAGAGAGTTGGGTCTCTGCTGAGTGACGGAGCTATCTTTCAGTCTAGGTGTGACTAGAACCGGGCTCCCACCTTACATTACAGCTGCCTAAACAGAAGAGCTTTTCAGACAGATGGAGAAGGCATGGAGACGTGTGGTCAAGTAAGAACCTCAAGTGTTCAGTGTGGCAGGAACCCAGGTGGGGGAGGGAGTGGTGGGATTCCAGGCTGTAAAGGCAGGTTGGAACCACATGGAAGGGCTTTATGTGACAAGCTAAGGAATTTGGGTTTCATCCATGTTAGTAGAGAAGGGGATGTCAATCCGGGTAGTTAAGTGGGGGAACATTATCAGGTGTGTTTTTCTTTTTAGAATGATAACTTCGCATTGTGAAAGATTGGGAGAAGAAATTAAATGTATGCTTAAAAATAGGTACAGTCTAGGATACGTAACAAATATGTATCCTGGATAGTGAATTCTGGGAGATAATCATTCTTGGATTAGAGTGGTCAGAAGATTGGACTTGAGCTGAGCCTAGGAGGATGAGAAAACAGAGGGAGAGAGGATTGCATTCGCAGGAGACAGTGTGAATAAAGTTGAGCGAGAGCCCTGTTTTCTAAGGGCAGAAAGTGATCCTCAGGTCACAGATGTTGGTTGTTCACAAGATTTCATCTTGTCTCGTCCATGGGTCCATGCTGCTGTTTCCTAGACGGTCCTGATTACCTCCAGCCCCCCAGTCTTTGCGGGAGTGTTAGATGCCCTCCTCCACCCACCCCACCAGCTCCGGTAGCAAGCTGGAGTTGGCTGTGAGAAGAGGCCTTTCTCCAAATTTCTCTTTAACAATAAAGTAATTTTATGCCCTGCTTCCTCTAGCATATTTTGTTAGCCCTTAGGAACATGTGCTTCCCATATGTCAAGGCAATCCACACGTTTTATATATGGGAGTAGTAGTATTAAGCCTCCACATTTATAGCAGATAACTGCTGATTGCTTCTGTCTCACAGCCTACGTAGATAATAACTAGAGGAGGAAGTCAGGAAACACAGAGGCCAGGGTGTTTTAAAGGGTCTCTTATGTGGATGCTGAAATGACTGAGAGTTATGATTGGACTTACCAGGAAGAGGGATGGAGAGATGGAGCGAGTGAGCACCAGGAGCTAAAATGAAGTCTTCAAGGAAAGCAAAGGAATGACTCGAGTCAGTAGATACTGCAGCAGAGAGGAATATCAGGAGTAAAATCTGAGGGCGTGGACCCTGAAATTTTATACTTTAAAAGTATCTGTTCTACAAATAGCAGGAAATTTAATAATACTTTTATGTGGTCTGAAGATTGTATGCCCAGTAATCAAGAAACTGTTTCTGTGTACATAGTAAAGCTACAGCAATATGTTGGAAGTAAATGTTCTCTTTTTCTATCAGGCTAATGTTTTTTCAAATATTATTTCATTTTTTTTGTTGTTGGTTTTTTGAGGAAAGGGAAACAGTTTATTTTCCAGATTTCCATCTTCAATTTCTCCTTATTAATAGGGCAGAAAAAAAATGTTTGACTCGGACATCATAGTGAAGCATTTCTATTTGATTAGACTGCTTTCATACATGCCCTTTGATAAAAGTGTATTCATTTCTCTCTCACACACACACACAAAAGTTTATGTCCAACACATTTGTATTGCTATGTTTTATACTTTTCTAAGACATGGCTTGGATGCATGTGGCTTGTCCTTGCATTATTATACACAGCTCTTTCAAAGTGTTTGTAAAGCCAGTCGTCACCTGGTAGAATTCAGAAAGTCATGGATGGATCAGATGGTTGAGATTTGATAATTACTCTTAGTAATAATTAGAATTTTACTACAGAGAAGTAATTTTTGTTGCTCTTCACATAATTAGACTAAATACATTCATCCCTTTAAAATCAGTTATGTGAGTGGTACCACAGTAGAGATGCGTGCAAGGGGCTGTAGGAGAATGAGGAACGGCACAGTTGATGAAGTACCTGAGGTTTTGTGCATTTTGTTTTTTTGCCAGTAATGCGGAGAAGAAAGTACAGCTTTTCCTTCTTTTGAACAGATAGAGAAACTCACTGAAAAGCACTGTTACTCCACATGGCCACTGAGCTATAGGGCAGTCTCAGTCTCTATTCTGAACACTCATTTTACAATTTTCCTAATATTTTTTCTTTCTCCCTGAAGATAAATGTTTATGAATTTTTAGTAATATCTTCTGATAAGTGGCTGAAATATAGCTTTCCTTTTTTTTTTTCCAGCGTGTTACCCGTTCCCAAGAGGAACTTCGGGAAGATAAAGCTTATCACCTCGAGCGGCATCAAATGGAGGCAGTTATGGATCGCAAGGCTGAGAGTGAGATGTGGATAAATCAGAACTCGTCCATGGGCTCTAGTACCTCCAGCCAAGAGCACCTGGACCACTCCTCCAAGGCGGGCACCCCTGCTTCCACTCTGACCAAAAGCGGCCCTGGGCGCTGGAAGACACCAGCGGCTGTGCAGCCCATGCCAGTGGCTGTCTCCCAGCCTATTCGAACAGACCTGCCCCCACCACCCCCTCCGCCTCCCGTCCACTATGCCAGTGATTTTGACGGAATTCCCATGGATTTGCCTCTCCCACCCCCTCCTTCTGCCAGTCAGATAGGACCTCAGCCTGCTCAGGTGGCTGCTGCAGAACGGAAGAAGAGAGAAGAACATCAGCGGTGGTATGAGAAGGAAAAGGCCCGTCTAGAGGAGGAGCGGGAGAGAAAACGGAGGGAGCAGGAGAGAAAACTGGGCCAGATGCGCACCCAAGCATTAAACCCCACTCAGTTTCCGCCTCTGACCGCCCAACAGATGAAGCCGGAGAAGCCTTCCACACTCCAGAGGCCCCAGGAAACAGTCATTCGGGAACTACAGCCCCAGCAGCAGCCCCGCACGATTGAGCGCAGAGACTTACAGTACATCACAATCAGCAAAGAGGAGCTCTCCTCAGGGGACAGTCTGTCTCCAGACCCGTGGAAGCGGGACGCCAAGGAGAAGCTTGAGAAGCAGCAGCAGATGCACATTGTGGATATGCTGAGCAAAGAGATCCAAGAACTGCAGAGCAAGCCTGACCGCACCGCCGAGGAGAACGACCGCCTGCGGAAACTCATGCTGGAGTGGCAGTTCCAGAAGAGACTCCAGGAGTCTAAGCAGAAGGACGAGGACGATGAGGAAGAGGAAGACGACGATGTGGACACCATGCTGATCATGCAGCGCCTCGAGGCCGAGCGAAGAGCACGGGTAAAGGGGGAGCGTGCTTGGGCGTGGTACCTGTGGTCCCTGCGCCCACCTGCGCGTGCTGGGGAGGAGGCAGCTAAGCCCAGGGTCTCAAAGGATTGGAAAGGCCCCTAGGCTTATAATGTTTTATGATACGTGTTACTGTTAGCTGACGTGCTACAGACATGAACCAGGATGAGAAGTCTGAACATTCTTGAGACGTGTCATTTAAAAGTATTAAATACAATTCAAATAGAACTTTATTGTTTTAATTAGCAAACTCTTATTTATCCTCATTAACACCTCAATTGAGAAAACAAGTAAATAATCTGTACTTTGTTAATAATTGGTAATAATCTTGATCAGGGGTTGGCAAAATTTTTTCTTAAACAGCCAGATAGTAAATATCTTAGGCTTTGTGGGCCATTTAGACTCTGTCTTAACTGCTAGCTCTGCTGTTGAAGTGTGAAGGCCACCATAGACAGTACGTGAACAGTGGGTGTGCTGTGTGCCAGTAAAACTTTGTTTACAAACAGGAGGCAGGTCATTTGCTGACCCCTGGTCTTGATTATCAGCACTTGATGGTGCGTAACAAGTGAGACTGTTCAGGACTTCAGAGTTAAGATTTTAGTGTCATTACCAGAAACATACCCTTCATAGTAGATATAAGGTTGATGAAGCAGGTATTTATTAAATTAATAAACAATTATATTTCAGTGGTAGTATAAAGACACTGAGAACTTATGAATTCATTCATATTTCTCCATATGACAAAAATAACTTCCATTCTTTTTGTGTCAAATAAGAGAAATAAAATTTATATTGGTTTAATGCAATAGATTGTTAAAATGCCAAATTTATGATTCTTTGTTACCCTACAAGAGAATCGTTGACAGAGAGGCCTTTATTAGTATTGATTTGCAGACAATGCTATTGCCCATTTCATGTTACTGAGTTTTAGTGGTTTTTTTAATATACAATGCAGTATTCTGAGAAAAGATGGCCAAGAGCATGTCCTTTTTTGTCTTTTAGATTTTGTTTCTAATTCCAGCTTTTATTTGATGCTGTGTGTATTCGAGATCTAAACCAGTTAACTGTTACGTCAGACATTTTAGTCTTTCTACCTCATGATGCAGTTTAATCTTAGGTATTATTAGTAAGAAGATGGAGCCACAGTGTGATCCCTCTTCTGTTTGCTCTGTGAAGTATTTTCCTGAAATGTCACACGCACACTTCTTATGATATACATATTCTCAGCCAAATGTATAGATAACTTTGCCCAAAATTCAGCTGGAATCCCTCTTAAGACACTTAAGTTTCTTAAATGAAGGCCTAAATGTTAACTGTTTCATTATTTTATTAGTATTCTCCAAGTCATCAGTAGTAAACTTTCTTAAGAACAACTGTATTTACCACCAGGACTATTTTATTTGAAAGAGCAACCAGTTGATTAATAACTAATTGCTTTAGCATGAGAATTCTTTGAGCAGTTTCCACTGTGTGGTAAAAGTCTGGCCTCCATCACAGTGCTCGCAGTACACAGTACACTTACAGTAGACAGCTATGTCGTGCGCTGTGCGCGTGTCCTGCAGCGTGCCTTTCCCTCTGCTCTGGCCAGGGCCACTGGTGGCCACCTGGCAGGCGGATTCACGGAGGAAGCTAAACTTGTTCATGGCCTTGTATCGCCCACCCCAGAACACAAGAAAGAATGGCTTCCCCGTTACTGCAGCTCAGACTCAGAATCTGAAGCTGATGTTTATGGTAAAAAAGTAGACGCTATTAATACTTATCGTTGTGCACATCTCCCAGCAGTAGTGAAACGTTAGCAACTGCATTGTAATATCTCTATAATTTCTTTTCTGTGAAGACTAAAATTTTTACTGAAGGTCTATCGGTTTTTCCAAAAGCTTAAAACACTGAATGTTACAAAGCCAAATATGAATTATGATATTTGGAAAGTTTCTTAAGTAAATTTAGTTAAAAGTATCTGTATTTATCATTAATTATATTAAGATTAATATCTTAGTTTCTAAATAAGAGAGCTAAGGGAAATTTTACTTTTTTCAGTTTCTATGTATCTTAATGAAACTCAAGTGTTTAATACATGTGGACATTTTTCTATTTGTGAATACTAGAGATTAGTCTGTATGTAGTTCTTTACTTTTCTCCTTGGGTCGTCCTTCAGAAACAGATGACGCATGAGAGCAAACAAATGTGCTGATGGCGGAATACAGGTCTAAACTTAACTTTTTTTTTTCACACTTCATCTTTCTTTTTTTTTTCCTTCTCTGTTACCTGCAGCAGACTGCTCTGCCAGCAATCTCTGTTCTAGATTTGGTATGTTCTCGTTTCTTTCCCTTTGGTACTGTTTTCCTGTCTTGATTTCCCTTTTTCTTTCAGTGGTGGTTGTTTTATGTTTTCAGTAGATCCATTTCTTAGGGCTGTCCTAGATCAGGATGTGTAGTTCCCTGACTCTAGAAGCATGCCTCTGAATGTTTGTAGATTTAGTTACTCTTTGCTTTTTTCCCTTAACTTTAAGTGTTATTGTTTGTTTATGGTTTTGACCTTTTCTCAGTTTTAGTCATAAAATTGATTCTGTGTATTCTTATATAGTTATAAAGATGTGAGCACATGAAAGAAATTTTGTAATGAGTAATCAATTTCATTCTTGTTACATTAGACATAGATCTTAAATATTCAGCTATTATAAACTCAGTTGAATTGATATTGACATGGTTTGCCAATTAAGATGGAACTGTCTAGGATATAACTGTCTATTGGGAGAGTGAGAGAGATTTCTGGTAAACACATATTCTTTGTTTTCTTTAGTAATATCACATGGATTTTAGTTTAGTTTATCAGCCATACGAGTTTATTGTCTGCCAAAAAATACTTGAGGTCACGTTCTATTGTCGATTCAATGTGTTTAATGTCAGTATTGGGGAAATTTGGTCGGTCATGTGGTGCCCATTATGCTTAAGTACTATATCTGTGTCATCTGCCAGACAGTTATATTTTGACTGATATAATTATATTAACTTTGTCCGCGTTTATTGTTAGTCAATTTTTTTTCTTTTCTTTCTTTCTTTTTTTTTTTTTCTTTTTGTGAGGAAGATCAGCCCTGAGCTAACATCCATGCCAATCCTCCTCTTTTTGCCGAGGAAGACCAGCCCTGGGCTAACATCTGTGCCCATCTTCCTCTACTTTATATTGGACACTGCCACAGCATGGCTTGAAAAGCGGTGCATTGGTGCATGCCCAGATCCGAACCTGTGAACCCCGGGCTGCCGCAGCGGAGCGCACACACTTAACCGCTGCGCCACTGGGCCAGCCCCGATTGTTAGTCAATTTTTAAATATGAGGCCAGTATCAGACAATACTTTTTAAAAAATCCCTGAAACCAGGTTTGACTTTAATGGCCTTCTCACCAAATAATAGCCCTCCTTTGTTTTTAATTTAAATAGATAGTGTGGTGACACTATGACTCCAAAGAGAACTCTCTCCTGAAAACACTTCCCCTCCTTGATGAATGAAAGGCATACTTTTCTGGGCTTAACTTTTTTTTTTCACATGAGACAAAGATAAAAAACATATGTTTTTCTCCCTACTTCTTTGTGTATTAAGATGTACATATAGTAGATGGTTGGAAAATATCAATCAGTTAGAGTCGTTTCTTTATGTAAAATCTTCATTTAACAAATCCTTGCTTAGCATCATTTATATGCCAGGTACTGATCTGAGGCATGGCTCTAAGAGATGGGGCCCAAGGAGAATCTTGTATGCTGTGAAGATTACATGACAGATGAATAAGATGTTTAAGGTTAAAGGTTACACTAAGGTTTTTATTTCAAAGAAATAGTTCAGAGGTTTTCTTTCTTAAAAAGATAATTATTTTGAGTGTTAATACTGACTTTAACCACCACGTTTCTGAACATTTCTTAGCCTAATTCCCCAGTAACTATCAATATTATTATAGACAATGTCATTATCTGTAGAGTTCTTATTATGTCGGATTGGCAGGTTGTCTTGAGAGAGCCTCCTGTTAGGCATAATCTTTTCCTTAAGATAATAGGGAGAGAGGCGAATACGTGACCCTGTGTGTAGGAACACAGCCCTGTGCGGGTTTGAAGGTGTTTTTGTCGCAGGATTTTTATGGTAACGAATGGGATAAGTGAGGCAGGTCTTTTCTTGTTGGGGAGCAGCCAAGTTTTAGAGAGGTTGGTGGGTACCCTGGCTGCTTCCTGCTCTTCCGCTGGTCTTGTAGTGGCCTGTCACCCCAGATGGGTCCAGGGCCCACCGCTTCCTTTCTGTGGGCTCACTCCCTTTGTGCCTGCTGCCTCCAGATCCATGTCTTGACTGATGCCAACAACACCCTCCTTCACATTTCTAGCCCAACCCCTCTCTGACGAAAGACTCCTCTGTGCGTTTGCTGACTTAACTCCTCTGCTCAGAGTCAGACAAGACTTTTCAAATTCCAGCATTCAAAACTAAACTCCTTCTCTCCTCCACTCCCCACCCCCCTGCACAATGCTGCCCACCTCCTCTACCTTCAGGCTTCCTCATTGCACTTGATCCTTCTAGTTCTCTGTCTAGAAACTTGACAGTTAACCATATCCCCTTTTTTCTCTCCATTGAGAAGTTCTACTGTCTTTACTTTTTTGGAGTCTGAGTCTGACCTGGCTGAGCCACCATCATTTCCTGCCTGAATTGCAGAAGACTTCTTGCTGAATGCCTTGCTTTACCTTTCTTCCCTTTACAGGCCATTCTAACATAGGAGCGACAGTGATCCTATTAGAAACATATCAGATCACACAGGTCCTCAGAACCCTACTGTGGCCCCTCATCACTTAGAGAAACATTCTGCATCTCTCCATGGCCTACAAGGTGCTCTTTGTCCTATCCTTGCCTCCACATGCACAGGCCCCATCCCCTCCTTCACTCCTCTGTGGGGTGGGATGGATGTCGACCATTGCTATAGCTTCCCCTGGCTGAAGTCCCTCTTCTTGATGACAGGGTGTGTGACTCATGCCTTTGCTGCTCTAGGTTGCCAAATAATTACATATATTACTCCCTTGTTTCTTCATAACAACCCTGTAATGTGGGTATTACAGAAGGGGCAAGCCCAGTATTTAAGAGATTCACCCTGTATCATAGAGTGAAAGTCAAGATTCTAACCAGAATTTTCTGAGTTCATATTTAGTGCTCTTCTGCTACACAAAAATGTCTACCACTCATAAAACTCTATTACTAGGAATTATCTTTCAACTAGAAGTTTGTGTGACCTGGCAGTGTCTCAGTTGGCTAGTCTCAGCTTCTGCTTGTTACCATTTTAGTGGTTCTTCTGCTGACTCAGATGACCTGACAGCTCACGGGAGCAATTCCTTGAGGTATTTTGGGGTAATACCAATGAAGTGATGTTTTCAAAGATTTTAGTGGCTCTTCTGTTTTCCTCCTGTGAAGACCCAAGCTGGATCTTCCCTCACAAGCTGCTTCCCTGTCTGGTCTTTTTTTGTGGGACTGTGGAAATTGGGCATATCCCTCTTGAGCATCCTGGGCATAGAAGGGGTTGAATTAAAAGTTGTATAAAAACTTCAAGCAAGAGTTAGTGGGAAACCTAATTGAGAGTTGCACCTTCAGAGAGACCCATCTCTAGGAGGTAGCAGACTATTTTTTGCCTATTCAAATTGAGATACCTCAGGAATGGGAAATGGCCCTGCCCAGGATATCAAAGCCAAAAGGTAGACACAGTCCATCTTCAGGAAGGGTCAGTGTTACCCAAGGAATTAGGAGGAGAAATGTGTTCTTGGTAAAACCAACATATGTATGTCTTGGAGTAGGACACAAAATTCATATGATGGTGTAAGAGGAAAGAATTGTCTTAAAAGACCATCAGGTGTGTATGGTGGGGCTGCTTTGAGCCACACTGCCCTTCTCGGGGTTATTTGTCTTATTATTCGTCTCTGCCTCCTCTGTCTACTAGAGTATTTCAGCAGCTGTGCTATAGATCTCTAACTTCTGATAAAATTGTCATTTACCTTAAATTAAAAAAAAAGGGGGGGTGGGGTATGGGCTATGCCAAAGGAAGGGAGCTCTCATTTGTTGAGTGCCAAGTACTGTGGTGGAGAGTTTTCCTGCATCATGTCATACACACTGCTTTATGAGAGAGGACTTTGTTTCCCCAGTGAGGAAATCCGTCCCTCAGCAGGCCGACAGAGTGCACTCCCTCGTGGAAGCGTGGCTAAGGAGCTGCAGAGCTGGGCTCTGGCCCCAGGCTTCAGGTTCCACAGGCCCACAGCAATAAATGGCCTCAACAGGGCGTCTCTTCATTTTTGGGCCTTAAAACTTTTTAGGTGTTTTAATGGGTAGGAGCATAAGCAGAAAAGATCTGCAGAGAGAAGGGTTTCTTAAGGGTAATGTGCTTAACAGACTTTTAGTTGTATTTTCAGTGAAAATGTCCAGAAGTAAAGGATATCTTAACCCTGTTTTGTATTCAGATATTTCAACATGATTGTCTACCTTAATGAGATTTCCATTATAAATTAAAGATATGTTAATATATTTTTGTGGTATAAAATTATAGCCACACAGATCTCAACATACTTTTCTTTCTTTTTTTTTTTCCTGAAAATACCTTTTCTAGAAATGTGGACACCAGTATAGCAAAACCTTGGTTTAAGCATACATACTGGCTTTTGAAATCTCAGCATAGTTCTTGGTTTAGAATAACTTTAGTCTGGACTATCTCGATTCATTCTGTAAGAATTATTGTTATATCTATTCAGATCTGTTCCCCAAATATAACTTTCTACAAGACTGCTTCGATCACATGTAACTTTTCATTCTTTTAATGTAAAACAATGAGCTCATCTCCTTTTCATTTAACTTCAGGGTATCGATGTAACAAGGAAGTTTGTCATTGGATATCAGAGTCATTAAATTTGTAACTTAGGTTGAAATGCCTTTAACTGTTATTGAATGTGAGTAAACCATACAGCTCAGTGTACCATCTTGAGCTATTATTTGGAGTAAATTAAGAGATTCTCTTTTCTCTCATTATTGCTTTTTTTTGGAGTAAAGCAGCATATCTTTGAAGAACAAAACAATCTTTTTTAAGAGAAAATGCCTGTTCGTAGATTTATAAGATAGCATTCTGTATCTATAATTATAATTATGAAAATTGTAATTGTTCTGATTTCTTAAAATTATACTCCTATTTAATTTAAAAGAACTAACTGGCTATCTCAATGTACACTTTTTCTTGCTTAGAACTTATTTTTAATTAGGTCTAGAAAGTATAACATAATGAAATTAGTTTGTGCTTTATTGGGTAACAGAAAAACCTCTATTGCATTAATGCAATTCTCTATTTTTCCATAAATTACTTTTCTGTAGAATATTTAATGTTTTCAATTGCTGTTTTATTTTGTTATTTTTATTGGGGTGTTATGTCTTGTAATTTGTGCTGATGACTCTAAAATTCTTGGTAAATGTTTCCATTCTTGGCTGTAAGACCCTTCCGCAGGGAGCTCTCAGGTGGATGTTAGCTCTGCAGTTCCCTGGGGAGAGCACCTTTCACTGTTCTTCCTTGCTCCCTTGGCTCTTCATCAGTAGCATCTACTCCTGCTACAGAGCCCCCTACAAGCCAGTTATCCTCACATCCCTTGTGGGCTTATACCTAGATTATACTAAAGAGGAAGTTAAATTAATTTGTCTTCTTGTGAAGGGAATTTTAATTTTTTTTCTAAGATGTTTTATTGTTGACTGACATGAAAAAGCCTAATGACACAAGTTAATTTGTTACTTTCCCATCAGATACAGAAATCAAGCAAGAGCGAAGTTGTTAGGTTTTTGTTTTGTTTAAAAAAATACACACAAACACAATTCAAATCCAGAAGTTAACATTTTCTATTTTTGCTATGAACAGTTTATAGAATAACTAGTAATTCTGTAGATACTGAAACACACCGTGAGAGATTTTGTCTAAGGGCTTCCTGCAGTGGTTAGAGATTGAACTGGATGGCTTCGAGTTCCATTTTAATTTTTAAAATTTTTAATCAACTCCTCTTGATGTAGGATGGTGCAGCGCTGTGGGTGCTGCTACAGCCCAGGTCTGTAACACATAAGAAATAACTGGAGAGTGTGAAGTTTTCAGTTACTGTTATCTTAGGCTGTAACGACAGAAGTAGAGTAGTTATATCTAGATGACAAAAAGAGAGTCTTATTCTGTTCTCTACTGGACAAATGTGCTTTTAATTCAGGGTTCCTTTTTAGAAAAGGTATTTTCAACCTGTAGTGCATAGAGAAATGTGACCAGGAAGATAAAGGAGCTGAAAACCAAATAGGAGATGCGTCTTAGATTTTTCAAGATATCTTTAAGTATTTGAATGGTATGAAAGAAAGATAATAAATTTGTTTTGTGTTGTTTCAAAAAGGAAGAGCCTGAATGGCGAGAAATAGAAAACAACCAGGTGGCGCAGTTTAGACCCGCAGAAGAACTTTTTGACTAGCAGTTCCCTGAAAATAGAATATACTGTCTTGGGAGGTAGGCAGAGGTCCCCAGACACTGGAAGTGTTCAAATAGAATGGATAATTGGGCAGAGATGTAGCAGAAGAGAGTGAGAATAGATTCCTTCCAAATTTCAGGTTTAGATTCTGTGACTCAGAGTTTGGGGATATCCCTGAACTGGGAAGGGATTCTTAAAGTCCAGGATGGGATCCAGAGAGAGCTAACTGATGGCAAAGGGCCAGGCTGGGAAGAGAGCTAGGAACTTGGTCCCCAAGAAAAGGTGGGCTGCTGTGAAGATAACTTTGAGCAGTCGCCATGTTCCTCTGGATCCTGTGGTGCCACGTGAGCCCCACCCACTGAGAGGCTGGTGCTTATCTGCCATGACCCACAAGAGTGGAGACTTGTTTCTTGACATTCGTAGTGGAAACTAAGACAAATGAACAAGGGGCAAGGGAAGGAGGATGGTTGAGTGTGTTCTGTAGTATCATAAATTGGGAGTCTGTCTGAGTCTGTTAATTTACTTCAGCTGGTTAACTTCAATTTGGTGTAATAAAAGAATCCTGCTTGTTTAATGTGTAAATGTCTGAGATAAAGTCCTTCTTGCTTTGAGCCACAATTAATGGAAGAATAATTCTGGAACTGTGGGGACAAAGTCTTTAGGTAATTTATTTTGAAATTGTAGACCTATAAAACGTGTAAGTTGTAGTGTCTTTCAACAGTGATTTTAACCTGGTATTTTGTGTGTGTGTGTGTCTGCTTGTCTCAGTATGCACTTTTTATGTGTTGTGCTGGTGGAGTTTGTTGAGTGGAAATTAAAATGAATTTGTTGTTAGTTACAGGATGAGGAGCGGAGACGGCAACAGCAGCTAGAAGAGATGCGTAAGCGGGAAGCAGAAGACCGAGCCAGACAGGAGGAAGAGCGACGCCGCCAGGAGGAGGAACGAATAAAACGGGATGCTGAAGAAAAGGTTATGGTTCTCTAAGGGCAGCTAGAATTTTACCACATTAGCCTGAACGTAATTGATTGGCTGGGGCAAAGCGGGCTAGAGATTATATGTCCCTTAAGACGCACAAGACAGAACAGGGCCTGGACCCCCCAACTTTGTTTTTGGACCAAAAACTTTAGCCCGATCTGGCCCACCTACCTCTCTTCTGAACTGTCTCCAGATTCCCTTTTCCTTTGAGTTTTGTCTCTCAAACTTCTGAACTCTTAGGCCTGTTTAGCCGTGGGTCTGCTTACTCTGGACACGGTCCAGCTGGTTATTGTGAAGGTGAAGTTTGCTCAGTTATTGTTCAGATTGAGTTTGAGATGTGGGAAGCAACAAGAACAGAGTAAGACAGTCTGTTAACATTAAGTATTTCAAATAGATTGTTTACTGAAATTACTCAATTCTGGTTGATGGTAAAGAGAGCAAATGGCTTATAAAAAACATGATACAAGGAAAATTTAACTTAGTATGTAATCTGATAAATATTCTGCGTTACTTGTTCCCATATGTGGGTTTTTTAATTCAAGTAATCCCTTCAGGTGAATTTCAAAATGACAATTAATTTGACCTATTCTGAGAACTGGGAGCTCGGCGATGCTGCCCTCTGGGTCCCTCTCCGCGTGCGCAGTAAGGCTCTGAGCAGGGGCTCACTGTCGGGTCTCTCCCGAGGGATTGCCTGTCACTGGGCATGGTGTGGGAGAAGCCGTTCTCTGTTACTGCCCTTCTGTGAAGGTGGAAGGTTTGAGTGCCACAACTGCTGATGGGGAAAGCTTTAGTGTTTATTAATAATTCCTTCTTTGATAGTCCCGTGAACTGTATTAATAGAGCACCCTCCCCATCCCCCCCAAAAAAGAACTTTTGGGGAAGCTTTTGTAGTGACACAGTCTATTAGGATACATAACAATCAAAGAGTAACATTGACAGAAGTGATGTGACTCATTGAAATGAAAATAGAACAGGTAATGTAAGGACACATACCTGTATTGAAGTTAACGATTTCTACGTTTTATAGACGTTTACCATTCCCTAAAGCCTATAATCACATTATCCGTTGTGTCTGGACAGATTTTGAAGTCTTCTCAGAGACTCTGAGCTTTTAGGATTAGGTTACCCTTGAGTCTTTTGCTTGTGTAATGGTAAGTCAAAATTGATGATCTTTCTAAGGAAATCAGATTTCCAGAATTGGAGCCACTAGCATTCTCAGATTTTATGGTGTGTGTTGTTTGCTGTTCCGTGGCTGTTGGGAAGGATGTGCTCTCCCGGTTCACGTTCACTCGCTGTCCCAGACTCTCCACGGACTGCTCTGCCTGCTCTGGAGGCCTGCAGACCCGCTGTCTGCAGGCTTTGGTTAGGCGCAGTCCTGTGCCCCTGCGTACCTAGCAGGGGCGGTCAGGTTGCCACCTGAGGGCAGTGCACGTGTGGAGAAGGGCCAGGTTATATTCTCTGTGTTGAGACTCTTGGGTTATTTGATTTTTCTAACATGTGTTCTCACAACTCATGATTATGTCAAATACACTATGTCTTAGTAACTGCTCCTATAATTGAGTGGTCACTGTAAAAAGAAGCTGAATAACCTATTTTTTATACAGAATGTCCACAATTGATGGGTTTGCTTTGTTATAGGAAAATGTGCCATTCATTTCTTGGGTAGAATGAAGTCTTCTGGGGTCATGTAATTGTATCTACTCTTAGCATAACTCAAAGGGGATGTTTGGTTTCCCCCAAAACGTTACCAAGCAACTGTTCTTCGTGTAATACCAAGATTCCTGATAGCTCCACTTCAGAGCCACAAAGGTCATTCCGGATTCAATCCCCCACCCTAAGAGAACATTCATTTTGTGTAGAAAATAAGATTAAATGTCTTTCGTTTAGGATGCCTCAACATAGAGTAAGCAGAGAAAGTACGTCCAGGGCCATGATTGGGGCTGGCATTTATTCTTAGAGTTTTCTCCCTCAGAAGGTGGAGCACTGACTGTTGTGTATTCACTGTGCGTGTGTGCGTGGGGGTGGGGGGGGCTCAAGAGGGACTTGGGAGAAAACACAAGAATTCAACTTGAAGTGGGACTAAAAACTTTTACCCTAATGCCAGCAAGGTCCCTAAAATTGGTTGTCTTGGTTGAATGAATTTAAATTTCACTGTACTCTGTTCTGTAGCGTTAACTGTTACTCAGGTTGAGGCAGCGGACTCTGTTTGATCTTTCATCCCCTTTCCTATTTACTTTTTTCTTATGTTCTGAAACTCTTGTCAATCTTTAACAAAACTGTGCTGTTACCTCTTTTAATGTTAAAATAATTTAACACTGTCAACTGTAGTTTGTGCAGATGTATGTCAGAAAAAATGTACAGTATGTGTCAAAATATATTTGAACATTTTGTTGCTGTTGCTATTAATGCCTGGCTCTCTAATTTTTTGTCTGTCAGGGAGTTTATTAAGATTTGAAATAGAAATTAAGAACTGTGGAAAGCGTATTTGTTAGATTGTTGCTTTGGGAAAGTGAGTTAATGTTTTTTACAGTTTATGGTTTCCTATTAATTTCCCTCTGAATAACTGGAAATAAACCAGATGACTCAATCATCTGAGGAAGGACACTCTTCTTCTGAATTCACTGGGGTCAGTGAAAAAGCAGACAATTTGCACTTCTGAAGGGGCTACCTGTAGAAAGCCAGGTATAGCCTATTTTTGGTTTTGTCTTGTCTTTGAACTCAGCAGTAACAGGTAAGTTAATATCCTACCAAAAACAGAAGGAAAAAGAGAGACAGACAGAAAGAGAAGCAGAGGAGAATTAAAAGTGTAGTGGAATAATTGAATGGGGACAGCAATGTAACAATTGAAAGTAGGGAGCCTCCCAGTACCTGAGAGTTTGTTCATTCCGTCCTTTTAAGCAGTTTTATGTCAGATAATTCCAGAACAGTATGAATGTATTTGTGAGTCTCAAGACTATTTCCAGCTCTGTCTGCCCGTTTCTGTCATAGTAATTATGTTCAAACTTTCATGTTCCCATGGATTCGTTATCATTGATGGGGGACTGAGGCGTAAATATATCCTTTCATGCCATGTGATGGCCCAGTTGGGTTGGCCATGGTCCCCTCCTGACCTCTGACCTTTGCACTTTTGTCTATTCCCGCCTGCAGAGGCGACAGGAAGAAGGGTATTACAGCCGCCTGGAAGCCGAAAGGCGCAGACAGCACGACGAGGCCGAGCGCAGGTTGCTGGAGCCTGAGGAGCCGGGTCTGTGCAGACCTCCGCTTCCACGGGGCTACGAGCTCCCATCCCCGTCCCCTCCGGCTAACGCTCCTCCTCCCCCACCTCAGCGAACCGCCTCTTACCTCCAGACGCAGGTCCTCTCCCCCGACTCTCTGTACACCGCCAAGTTTGTTGCATACAACGAGGAGGAGGAGGAGGAGGAGGAGCACTGCAGTCTAGCAGGTCAGGATAAGTACTCCAGCACAAGAAAGTCTCACGGGGACCTTCCTCCTGCCGCCCTTAAGCCACAGCAGCCCCCCTGCCAGCCACGCCCGGCCTCCGATGGCATCTTTCTCTCCAACTCATTCCAGCCACCCTCGGCCAGTGCCAACAGTACTGCTCATAAAGCAGGCCTGCCCCCACCCCCTCCAAAAAAACCAGGCTTCTACCATCCCAGCCACTCCAAAGGTAGAGGTAAAAAGTGGAATTGCAAATCAAACCTTTGATCTTGACTGGAATCTTGGAGGCTCTCTCACACTTCCCACTGTAGTGTGGCCCGTGTCGATTGGCACTCGCTTTGGGATTTGATTTCACTTGATCACTAGTCTCAGCATGGTGACCTCCCTCTACTCCAATTGTAATGTCTGTGCTCACACTCCTTTAAGTCAATATCTTAGTACTCCCACTGCTTTTATACTTTAAAAAGTTCCATTTCTGTGATCAGCTGATAGCAATCAGCCCTTCTTCGTTACTGCTAGGTCCCTTGAAGTACTGTTGGTCTTGGTCTTCATTCTCTACCGCTTCAAATAATTCTTATATTTGGAGGAACAAATACCCTTTTCACGCATTTTGGTGCCTAAAGAGAAATGTCTGTTATTAATAGCATCGTAGTTACATGTTCAGTTTCTGTTATTTAACATCAGTAGAACTTGTGCTCTGGATTAAATGCCACGTGGCAGCGGCTTGTGAGATAACTGCTGTGTCTCATGGTGGTTTGGTCGGAGTAGTGGAAGCACTCTGCTAAGCTGGGTTCATGGTACTGCTCAGTGCCAGCTGCCGCCTGCCAGGGGCCAGAGAACCTGGTCATCGTGGGACTACTCTTTTTTTCCCCTGACCGGTTTCAATTCTTCCTGGGACCTTACGTTCTCAGAGCGTCACAGCACGAGTAGCCAGACCACAGCGTAGGCGTGCAGTTATAACCCTCTGGTTATAATCTTCCATGCCGACTGCAGAGCACCGTGGCGTTCCTGCCTTTGCCAGGACTTGGAGGCTCCTGTAGAGTCAGCAGTCAATTTCTGAGACAGGGCTGAAAGTTGTATTTCAAATTATAACTGTAAATTATAAGGATTCAAATTTCAGGCTAATCTTACTACTCCACACAAACTTGGAATGCTGGCAATAAGCATTCTCAAATGTGGTAGTGTTACTTTTGATGACTACAAGAGTCTTACAGATTCTGCATAGTGCAATGCATGGACTCACAACAATTCTAAAAGAAGCTGAATGATCAAAAACTCACATAGTCATCACCCTTACATAACAAATGTTTTGCCAGGATCTTCCCACCTGAGTCAGAGCTTTGATCTACTTTACAGGTTCAGAATATAATAATATTCAGGTTGAGTCACTCAGAAGCCAAAATTAAATCTTTTTGTAAAATTTCTGTTGTAAATATCTAGAATGTAGTACCTTCAAAGACATTTATGGAATAATAGTAATTTTTGAAATGAGATGCCATCAGTCTCTTTGCATCAAATTAGAAGCTGAACTTTAGATCTTTTGTGTCATGACACAGTAAATATGAGGTTTGGTAATGGAATATTGTAGCTAGGTATCACCTCTAACCATCTTGGCTTTCAATCATACCACTAACCCTTATTTTATTTCACACTTAAAACACCACATAGGAGCAGGGTATGTCCTGCATCTGATTGCTCGGGCTTCTTTGAAGACTTCCTTCGTAAAGTACAAAGCTGTCTGCACCAAATGCAGAACGCATCTGACCTTACCATCCATCATCTCACCAACATTGTCGCATTCTGTGTTCCGCCCTTTCTGTGTTGTGAGCACTCTTGAAAAGCATGCTTCTGCAGACTGGACTTGGTTTCTTTCACTGGGTGCTGTGAGGAATTAAGATATGAATTGGAATGAATAATGTCAGATTTCAGCATAGCAACATATTAAAAAATATTCTTTACTAAAGCTCTTTGAAAATTATTTGAAATGTGTAGTATTGATTCATATATTGTCAGGGAAAGTATTTGATATTCTGATTAACTCTAAAAATTTTGAAAATTTTTAGGAATTGATTTTTACCAGTGGAAGAAGCAAGTTTCTTAAAACAAAGCTCAAAAGATATAACATAACATTTTTAAAAACAAAATGAAAAAATTTAGAATTAAAATTGAAAAAATTCCACTATGCAAAAATAATTTATCTAAAGGCCCACTATGGATTGCCTTAAGTTAGAGCTGTGTTTCTGTTCTATCTTTTGAGTCTTTGCTGAGGGTGACTTCCTATGGTGTGATTATGGGAGACTTGCACTAAGGAGTAGGGAAAGATGCAGTGCGTGGAGGAATCACTCACAAGTGTCCAAGCTCTGTCTCAGTATAGCAGAGATGTTCTGCACAGTATGTCCTGTTATGTAGAAAAGAAACGTAAAAATTCATTTCTGTGCAACTTGTCTAAAAAGGATAATTTTAATGTTGAAATTTTATAATAATTTTGTGGCCTGTTTAATCCAATATGTAATGCTGTCAGTGTCCATTGAATATTTTGAGCATTTATTGCTATAGCCTGTACTATTATAAGCAAAAGATTTTTCAAGTGTGAAATTTTTTTCTTGCTGATGTTACAATTAATAGAAATACATTAGTGCTGATTTAATGCATTATTATCTTAATATATCATCTGTGGCACTGTAATCTTGTATTTGGATGCATTTAAAATCCTTATGTGCATCATCTCTTTTGATCTTCAACAACCGTTTGGAGTAGACAGGGCAGGTGGTGGTGTTACCAGGTGGGTTGATGTTACTCTCTGTCGTTACTCGGCCAGTCACAGGCAGATCAAGGGGCCGACAGCCTCTCTCTTCTCTCACACTGTGCTGCTGGGGTCTTGTTTTTATTTTGTCAGTGATTTTGTATCTGCAGCACTAGTATCAAACCCTAGGGGTTTTGGGTAGCTTGTTTGTTTAAAACATTTTGTTTTGTTTTAATAATTATAGCCACTTATTTTGAGGAAAAAATCAGTAGTTGTCCTGAGAAGAGGAACTTCAGTCATGTGGTTACTTCTTAATCTTTGGGTTACGTTTACTCAGTGATTTTGTAAGAAAATTCTTAGTGTCTGAAAAATTGTGCTATCTCCCCATTTAAGTCAGTCTTTGTGGATTTTTCTTCTGAATTCCTGCTAATTATGCCTTTTATCAGATTTGAACTTTTTGACTGTTACTACCTAAGACCTATGCTGTTCCCTCTCTGATACTAAAGGCCAGGACGCCAGGGATTCAGCACCTTGTGAGAGCAGTGATTGGATTACTCAGGCCACTAAGAGATGTGAATTTCAAATTGATGGATCTTTTGTCTGATTTGAAGAGGCTTTTGCTTTCTTCTTTATTCAGTAATTGAAGATGTCTTATTCTTCTACGGGCACTGCATTTTTATTATGAGTAAATTTTTGGAAATAATTACAAGTACTTTAACTTTGACTTTTTCTTTCATGGAAAAGGACCAAACTCTTACATGGGATCTACTGGGACAGTTATCGGTGCCCATGATGTTTATCGGGATTCAAGAGAGAAACTGTCTAAAAGGTATTTACAGTTGTCCTAGATGAATAACTTTATCGTCATTGGTGACTTTTTTCCTTCCTCGAGCCATTTTTGTGTGAGGCTGGATTGAAATTTCAGAGACTTCGTTATCAGCTCAGATGTTTCTCATTGTACAAAATTGTGTGAGCATACAGGCTTTTTATCTTTTGTGTTGCTAATATAGTTCTGTTTCAGACAGTGGTGTAAGTACCAGGCTTTCTAGTCAGAACTTAAGCAGTTGGGCATGGTGCTGTTTGCTTCCACCAGAGAAGGTGGAAAATTCTTGAGCAACGTCCAGGTGCCCTGCTCGACTACATAAGGCCAGCCCTGATGATCACAAAAAGTAAATAGGCTTAATGTCTTCACTGAATGTCCTCAACTAGGTTTTAGTCAGAAACACAGTTGAAGTTGAACTGATGAAGAAAATCTTCCGAATCTTACTACAACTTGTTAAGTTAGGTGTATTGATCACTGCCCTCAGATACATGTAGGATTCATTACAATGCTCTATTTTAAAACTATACCTCTTTAGCTAAACTTAACTCTTAGGAATTACCTGCGTGTTAAGGTTCAAGTGACTAGCTTTCTGAGAGGTGGATGTGACTGGAGAAAGTTAACATTTTAGTAAGGAGAAGACTTGGCCGTTTTCTACATGGGTTTAAATACAGCCCCAATAATTTTAATTATAGGAAGGGTTATGGCAGAATTAAAGAATGAGTCTCTCTCTTACTGCAAGTTTTACTGAATTGCGCATTATGTAAACTTACCTCATTGTTGACAGGTTGTTTCCATTCTGACCAATAATCTTCTACATTTCCCTCTCATGCAGCCAAGATGCAGATTTACCTGGAAGTTCTGGAGCCCCTGAAAACTTGACGTTCAAAGAGCGCCAGCGTCTTTTTTCACAAGGTCAAGATGTGTCCAATAAAGTAAAAGCCTCTCGTAAATTAACAGAACTGGAAAACGAACTGAACACAAAATGAGAAAAAGGAAAAGGGCACCTTGTCTTTACCCCAAAGTCTTCTCAGTTGTGCTTTGTAGGTATGAGCTTGAAGAGGAAAGAGGAGGTTAGATTTCTAAGTCACTTATGATTTCTGTTTCTAAAATGGTTGGGATTTAGGGATGTTCCAATTCCAAGAAATTCTATTTTATTTTACCAAGAGATTGTCATTTATACAATTTAAGTACTAATTTCTTAATTCTCTGGCTCACATAAAGATAACTTTTTTGTTAGTTTCTTTTTTAGAGTCTGAGTTTGAAAGGGGACAGAAGGAAGGGCAGTAGAAGATAATGAGATGTTTCTTTTCCCCTATTTTCACCAAGGAGCACAATGTTTTATTTTTGTTCTTTTTCAAAAACTTTATTTTAGCTATTACACAGAGAATAGCTTGAACTACCCAGACTATTGTTTGCACTATTTAGTAGCAACCACAGACTGTTCTACGGACGAGTCAGGTCTTACCTTCCAGGAGAGAGAAGGTGTGAACACGTGCTGTTCGTATGTTGAGCCCACAGCTAACGTGGTAGCCTTTCTAGTCTGCTCTGTGCAGTCACGATGCTGGAAGATGACGCACGTTGGAGACTTGTTCCATCTCTTTCCTTGCAGGTACAAGCCCGCCTGATCAATTCTAAATATTTGATTTAAGAGAATTTCTCCAAGAAGAACATTTTGAGGATTTAAGCTTAGGAAATTTTATTTTTATAAATATCAGGTTATTGTTAGACTAATAAATCATTGGTGATTTTGAAGATGCAGTTAAGTTAGAAAGTTAACTAAATATTTTAGATATTCCAAGGGAGTCTGTAAAAGAGGATCTCTTTAGCTGAACAGTGTTGCTGTGAACAGGAACAAAAACACCTGAGGAGAACGGGAGATGAACAGGTGACACTCGCACACAGCTGCTGCTTAGAAATTTTAAATCTGAAAAACAAATAGATTTACATGGATATGCTGTCAGGGAAAGGAAGGAGTTCAATTGCATATGGCATCTGTAATTTAAATATTGTAAGAATAACTCGTATGGCAGTTCAAGCTATTTTTTTACACTCTATTAATAGAGTTATTTAATTTTCATTTGTTGAATTATTACTTACACTGTCATTTCTTCAGCTATGAATATGTAGCTGATGTTGGGGAGACGGACCTCACTTTGTTTATATTGTGTGATGTTAAAATGGTAAATTACTTTGTGATTATGAGCAAATTTTCTATTTGACAAAGCCCTGCTGTGGGGTTTAGATGATTTTTCTGTACCATATTGTTCTCTTACAAATATGTACGTTCAGAAAATACGCACACTTTCAAATAGAAGAGGGAGAGGCTTTCTAGCCTAGAAATCACTTTAATGCAAGTTGTATGATAAATCATTAAAATGCGAGTGTAAATATTTTTGTGTCAATCAGGGTTCTTATTTGGAAGTGTGCTTTTACTGTTTCCCTTGTTGAACTAAGGAGTAAAATGGTTCTAAGTGTTCAGGAAGGACTGGCGTGCTTGCTCCGGAGGTGTGAGGAGAAGCAGGCTCCTCCCGAATGTCTGGAGAACACTGGCAACCTTACGGGGACTAATCCACACTTTCTTTAAGGAAAAGAGGCAGATGAACTAGTCTGTTAATATATAGAAGAACAAGAAATACACATAAGTACATGCAAATACATGTAAATATCTACATACAGGGATATTTGTGTGTGTGGTTGTAAACCCGTAAACAGGTGGATTTGGCCATCCTTGGACGATTAGGTCAAATGTGAATATGTGTGAAAGTGCTTTTCATGACTGTGCATTACTATGGAAAAACATCACAACTGCTGTAGTTTTCCATTTCTACTGTATTTCATTTGCAACCTATTTTTAATAAACTTTGTATGTATTTAAGTGTATTTACTATTATTTTAACAGTGCTGACAAAGATTCTATTTGTAATATCAGCCTTCCCATCCCGTCTCCTGCCTGTCCACTGATTCATTAAACATTCACTGAGTGTCATTCTGTGTCAGGCAGTGTGCTTGGTTTGTGGGGAAGTGTCCTCTGTCCCGACCACACAGACTGATGTCACGAGAGCTTGCAGATCACTCTGACAATGGTCCCCGTATACTCAGCCCCCAGGCTTTCGTGACTTCTGCTTTGCATATCAGCAGTCCTGGGGCCATCCAGACTGTTTCTCTGTTACACTGTCCCAGCATTGCCTCTTTGAGTTCTTAAGCATACCCAGGAATTAGCAAATTGTATAAACAAGATTTCCTGGTGCGATGTGTTTGAGGGCAGGGGCCCACCCGAGGTAACTCCTGTGAGGGGGTGTGATTACAGAAGTGTGCGAGTGGAGTGACAGGGAACGAGGCTCACAATGCGTGCAGACTGGGCATGGGCACGGGAATGGGGCTCAGCTCTGCCCCTCGCATGTGCTTCTTCCTGTCCACGCGGCCAGCTGTGCCTCCCTGTGTCTAGTTCGCCTTTTCTCCATGGCCTCTGAGCAGGAGTGCCAGGCTAGGGCCATGCCACAGGATTTCAGGAAGACTTTGATGAAGGGAAGCAGTGGCTCGCGGGGTTGTAGAAACTCGTGGAGATCTTTTTGGCAAGACAGATGTTTTATATTGGAACATAATATTCACTTTCAGTATGTTTTAATGCCCAAAAGGGTACTTTAAAGTTTGGGAGGACAAAAGCTCTATTAATGATCAGTCTCACCTCAAGGCGCATAGTTCTCACCTCCAATGGTCTTCTGTCTCTTGGATCCCATAGAAATCGCAGAAAGCACTCAACAATTTTCTAGTATGTGCTGTCTGACAATGGTTTCCTCTCTGCTGTACGACATAGAAAGCATTTCAGAAATTTTGTTATACACTTAGGGTAACATTAAGCCACAGCAAAATGTAAGTGGAATGACTTGCAGAGGGAAAATATGGGCAAAAAGTGACAGGTTTTTCATTCCAGTATTCATCCAGTTTATTCAAAGACATGTCACCCTAAAAGACTCATATTTGACTTCAAATTGGGGTATAAAAGACAATTTCTTGCACAGTTTATTCAACAAATATGATTTACGATTGCCTACTCTGTCTCAGTCACTGGGGACACAGTGGTTCCAAGTGGCCCAAAGCAAATCTAGGAAGACAGAATAGTTTGTTTATATAAACATACAGTTAGTAACTGTTAATTTGTTTAAGGAAGATGTGTAGGGCACTTTGAGGATTTAATAGATGCAATTTAAATCATGGTGATGGTAGACTTTTTGAGAAAATGGTACTCCCTTTTGAGAGAAAAGACTGTTGCAGGCGGAAGGAAATCCTGGAGGCAGAGAGGCTGCCACACTCACAGAAACTGGTCAGGGAGCCCAGGGCTGAGGGCAGTGGGGTCGGAGGGACCACAGAGTACAGGAGGGTCTTAAATCATGATAAGAAGGTTTATATTCTTCATGCAGCTTCCTGCCTGGTTTTGTAAAGCCACATGAGGCAAACCAGTTTGAGGGTGACTGTGGTCACCATACTGAGTAAGGACAGGTGTGGAAGGCTTCTGCAGGAGTCGGAGGGTATGCTGGCAAGCCTTGGTGTTCTATCGCGAGTTTCCAGTTTGAATAAGTAGATGGTGGCGATGTTATGGAGATGGTGATGGAAAGATGGGCAGGTAAGGTCCAGAGTGAGCTGGCGGAGTTTATTATAGAGATGCCACAGGTGAGCAGGTGGCATGTCAGTGCACACTCGGCTCTCCTTGCAGACAAGAACCGGTAGCAATGACTTCCAGATTGATGACAATACTTGCACATGTCTTTGGTGGATTAAACCCTAGTTTTTCTGCTGTTCTAAAGCTTGTGTTTTATTCTTTTATGGAGACTACAGGTGCAAATGGCCTAAACCTAAATTGATGACAGTGGTTCCAACTTCAACTTGAATTTATTTTAATAATATAAAACATTAAGTAACAACAAAAAAGGGAGACCTGGAAAACACTGGGTTAACTGTACAGCTTTAAAAATGTCCTGACTCCCCAATTTTTTTTCCATGGGAACAGGCCCAAAAATATAAGAACAGACTGTGTGAGTTGAGCAAAATATGTAACATGGTCTCAACAGTGTATCCAAAAAAAGGGAAAGTCAACCATAGCTGGGGAGTTGGGGGTGGGGGGGAGTTGTTGGTTGTCTTGATTTCTGTTCTTTAAGTACCATTACCTGACTACTTGAAAATTACTAACATCGACATGGAAACTGTCCAAAATTCTCCAAATCTCTGTGGATACAGAGTTTGACGTACCTAAATGAACCTGTCTCTCCTGGTACTTCGTGATGTTCCTTGCTCATTCTTTCAAGATGTTTAATTGGTCTTTTAATAAAATGAAAGTGATGGCTCAGCGAAGACTGGGTGCCGCCGTCTGTTTCTTTCCCTCTCAATAGTTGATTCAGATCTCCTCTCTCAGAAAGAATTCTGTCTCCTGTGGCAACAAAAGACGTGAGTGGAACGCAAACATAGAAAACCAAGAAGGCAGAGAGGACTCAGTTGTGAGAGCCACACAGGCTGACTGCCTTGTGCTAGGCTTTGCACGTGACTCAGCTTCTGGCCCCGCCCCTCGAGTGACCAGTTGTGTCATCTGAATAGGAGCAAGAACGAGTTGCAAGGGAGAAAGTCTTCCTGGCACAAAGCTGTGGGACGAAGCCAGCACTGAGAATGTTCTTTACCCAGAGCAGCGTTGGTGGGCTGAGTTCACACACACGCATAGGCCTCTGGTAACCTCCAGACAGCACACAACACGTCTCGGCAGGGCTGCTGACGGGCCGTAGACAGGCGATCATCAGAGTGGATCCCTCTGGCTGCTGTTAAAGAGCATCGAGCCGGATGGCAGTTAAAGCCGTGAAAGCATTTTACTCAGGAACCACTGCAACAGGGAAAAGAGACCTTGGTGTAGATGGGGCTCAGTTCCAAAGATAGCAAGAACAGGAGGGCTCTGGGTGGAGAATCCTAGGAGATGCCAAGGGTAGGGGGTACGAGGAACTCCCGG